AGACCGAAGGTCAAAAGTGCAGCCTCGTTGCCGACGAATGTGCAAGTGCCAGGAGATTGCCTTGTAGTCTGCGATGAGTCGAGAAGAAGGCAAGTAATCTGCGAGATTGCCGTGAAGCAGAGGCGAGCAGTGAGGCTCAGAGCCGTGCCGAACACTGTATAGCACAGAGAGTAGCTTGAAGGAACAGGAAGCATTATTATTCCAATGCAGCGATGAACTTTGTGAAGCTAGATGGCTTGCAGGATATGAAGACTGCAGACGATATCTGCTCGGGAGCGAATGGGTGGGGTATTCTGTGACGATGATGAAGCTTGAAGTTTTCGAAGGTTGTTGGTTGCGTGTTCAGGTCACATCGGGGTCACCACTGCGGCCGTAGTAGGAAAAGAGGAGACCTCCCGCCAGGCAAGGTGTTCTGCCTAAGGAGCGGCCGACACTCCGTGTGATAGTTCGGAGATGTTCTATATATACCGTTCATGATTCGGAATGTTAATAGCGTGATTAAGCTTCGGTGTGTTTCGGTGTGCTAGTGGCGCGACGACAGCGCCGCTACATCACCCCCTGCTCACACCGGAGGTCGATAGCGCACCCTCGTTGCCGACCAATGTGCAAGTGCCAGGAGATTGCCTTGTAGTCTGCGGTGAGTTGAGAAGAAGGCAAGTAATCTGCGAGAGTGCCGTGAATCAGATGCGAGCAGTGAGGCTCAGAGCCGTACCGAACACTGTATAGCACAGAGAGTAGCTTGAAGGAACAGGAAGCATTATTATTCCAATGCTGCGATGAACTTTGTGAAGCTAGATGGCTTGCAGGATATGAAGACTGCAGACGATATCTGCTCGGGAGCGAATGGGTGGGGTATTCTGTGACGATGATGAAGCTTGAAGTTTTCGAAGGTTGTTGGTTGCGTGTTCAGATCACATCGGGGTCACCACTGTGGCCGTAGTAGGAAAAGGGGAGACCTCCCGCCAGGCAAGGTGTTCTGCCCGGGGAGCGGCCGACACTCCGTGTGATAGTTCGGAGATGTTCTATATATACCGTTCATGATTCGGAATGTTAATAGCGTGATTAAGCTTCGGTGTGTCTCGGTGTGCTAGTGGCGCGACGACAGCGCCGCTAAAACCTACTCGATTGGAGTCAGTTTGTAAGAGCAAGTGCGTTTGAGTCTACTATACAAGACTATTATACAAGATCTGGGGTGAGCCAAGGAAGTACGTTGAGGCCTTTGCTTTTTCTTATTTTCATTAATGACTTACCGAGCTAATGTGACTGTGTCCAAATGTCTGTTGTTCACAGATGATCTCAAATTAAGCCTAGGTGTATATGACCCGTCTGACTGCGAGGCATTGCAAAGGGACATCGATGCGGTTATGGATTGGAGTGTATTAAATCATCTTCCGTTTAATATTAAATAAATTTAAAATAATAACATTCACGCATAAACGCTGTCCACTAAAAAAAGAATATAATTTATCTGACACGCCCTTAGTAAGGGTAAGTGAAATTCGTGAACTAAACTTGACTTTCATAACCATGTGACTACTGTATATAAAAAGGCCAGTAAATTGCTTGGCTTCGTTATTCGCACTTCTTTACAGTTCGATAGATTGGAGGTCGCTTTGGTACTTTACAATGCATATGCTCGTATTAAGCTTGAATACGGTGCCTTTGTATGGAATCTCTATGAGGAGAAATATATTTTGATGATAGAGAGAATACGAGTACAGCGCAAATTTGTACGACATATCTATATCCGTCCTTATTTATTACTGGTATGGTGGGTTTGGACACGCTTAAACTTAGGCGAACTATGCAGTTGATAACATACTACCTAGCAATCATCCACAATCGAATATAATATAGTTCGATTGATGATATTAAACAGAGTAGGGTTGTTGGCTCTGAAGCGGCTGGGCTATGATGTGGAGGGGACGGTGGTACCACGGCAGCAGGTACGGCAGGTACTAGGTACGGCGCTCACGCGCCCACTTCTAGTGCTTTATGGCTTATCGGAGACATGCTCGCAGATGATAACGAGACTGACTTATTTGCTGATATCTTAGGGCAACTATGTAATAAAGCCCTTCTATTTTTGACATCCAATTTTGACATATTGTAATATATTCTTTTAATCTTATCTTATGTAATCAATTTGAAAATGACATTTTGCTTAATTTATTTGACATGTAATCTATTTGACTTTTAATCTATTTGGCATGTATTTTTTTGTATTTATTTGATCTATTGGACATGTATTCTTTAATTTGTTTGACCTTTTGACATGTATCTTATATTATTACTATTATTTAAAACTGTAATTTGTAAATTAGCATGCTGACGTTTTGGGCATACTGTAATCCAGCATGTACACTGTTTTTAAAATATAAATATAAATAAATATTAATGCCGTGTTCCGTTGCGTAACGTAGTTTTCATAAATTTACACAAATTACCTAACTATTTATAATAATTTGTTTCTATGTATGACATTAATAAAAATACAAAAATATTGGGTAAGTATATATTAAATCAACCATCACGCTGCACCATAAAGTCTTTAAGTTTTGGGGTTTATTCACATTTAGTATGGGGAATTTTAAAGTTATAATTCCATGCTTTGTGGCATTTCTTGGGGGAATCCTATGTTTAGCAGTGGACTTGTGAAGGGCTGTATTGATGATAATGTTGTATTTTGTCATAGAATTATTAATATAAATAAAGGCATAAGAAAGTGACGACCTCATCGCCCGCTAATTGTTAAGTGATAAAACTGCTACGTCAGCGTAGTCAGCCAGTGCCTTGCCCAAAGGTGTGAACACCGCACCTCGTTAAAATTGAGGGGGTAAAGGTCCATTTGTGCATATGGCAATACATATTGTACCATATGGCCGTACCATTATACGTAACTGGGCCTGCGCGTCTTCCGTAAACTGACACCCAAAAAATTAATAATGATTTATAAAAGAACAATAATGATTTATAAATATCAGTGGCGAAGCTAGAGCTCCAAGCTAGGGCAAGCCTAGGATATAAATTGATAAAAACATAGTTTGTTGTTTTTAGCAGTTTTATAAAAATACACCATTCTTGATCTGTCTCCACGCTTCAGTTTCATATTCAGTGTTGTCAAGGACGTGTTTAACAAAGCACACAGAAGGCATAGGTACCACTGCTAGATAGATTGTATTACATATCAGCAATTGCATAGCTTCGGTGGCTTTGAAGAAAGCCGTTTGAGTTTGTTTAAGCGAAAGAAAAAAAATATTTACATCCAATACAATACATGAACAAAAGTAAAACACGAACAAAGTACAAACAAACTATGTACAAGATTAAAAAAAAATTATTTACATTCTAATGGATAAGAGATAAGATAAGATAAGTGGAATCGTCTCGCTTTCTTATGGAAAGATTTAATTACGTCCACGTAAAATGTTAGTGAACGTTTTAATTGTACCAATAACTGTTTTTAATTGCGATAATTGATAAGTCTGAAATACACTCTTAACCTTGTGTATTATCTCAACAAAGTTTAAAGATTTCCTTTCCGATTATCAATTTAACACACTTCAATTCATCACAAGGATCACTATTATCCTCCATTTTCATTAAAAATCTTTAAAAAAGCATAAATTTTGAACTCGTAATATTAAATCGCTTAAGATAAGCACAGAGAGTAAATAAACATTGAAACGTGAAATGAACTTGCAAACGTATTGCCCGCCTTCGCTTTTAAAAAATTTATTCCCAAAAGCCTGGCTTTAAATCTCTATACTAATTGCTATATATACAATCGTAGTTATATTTCATTATAGAACATTTTGCCATAGGTTACGAAGAGAGCGATCGTCTTCTCGAAAGCCCCGTAAAAAGCCCACGCGAGGGAGACAACTATTAGCTGTATTAAAACTCATTTTTTATGACAGCAGCAGTATCGCTAAGGCGATACGAGGTCATCGGTTGACATGTGTCGAACAGTGGAGTGCGCGGGAAATTTGAAATAGCTTGAAACATTTTACGAGTTATTTTATTAGTTGATATTATTGATTGATTCAGGTTTAATAAGGCGAGCCCGACTTTTCGGCTTTAATGGAAGCTTCGCCACTGATAAATATGTATATAGAGCGCATGTCTAGAAATTACCAGAACATGTCTGGAGTTGGCACTGGACGTGGTAGGCCGCCAGCCATCATCTCCAATAGTTTGACAGGTGTTGGCAAAGTTTCACGGACCCGGATAAATAAATTTATTGTTCCTATTACAAGTTATTCGTCGAATAAAACCTGACTAAAACGTAATGATTATATTCAAAAAGTAAATGCGAAATAGAAAGTTGCGTTTTTCTATATTTCATGTCTGCATATGGGAACTATTAGTGGAAACGATAGAACAAGTGCTCTGACGGTGATACAAAGCTCATTAATGTGCTACCTGATATCGCTGCAACAAAAGATTCGTGACGCATCAACACGTGAAGAATTTTGAAAACAAAATACACATCATATTAGGCTGTATAGGCGTCTATCCCTTTACAGTTAGATAAATAAAAAAAAGAATATCTGTCAATCTGACACTTTCACTGTCATTTTCGTTTATTTCCTGTTTGGTGTTGTTAGTTGTTACCACAAACTAATAAGAGACATTACGGGTTTGTTCCACAAATTACAAAGTTGTATGTACAGGAGTTTGTTCGCTTCGTTTCATAGGGCATAGGGCTACGGTGGCTGGCCTAATCTTTCCTACTTCATGGTGTTATGTTTAATAAAACGTAGTTATTTTTCTTGGTGTGTGTAGAAATATTTGATACGAGTGAAACCTTTTGACATTATAGTAAATATCTTACAATTTACCTACCGAAAGAAAAATTACAAACAGTATAAAAGTAATAGCGTAAAGTGGCTTTTCCAATGGCTGGTAAACTATACTTTGTTTTTGCTCTCTTAAGTATAATACCAATTATTTACGCTTGTAATGAAGCAATTTGTGCAAGTGTTGTATCCAAGTGTATGCTTACACAATCTTGCAAGTGTGATCTAAAGGACTGTTCCTGTTGCAAAGACTGCTTTAACTGCCTAAGTTACTTGTACAGTGAATGTTGTAGCTGCGTTGGTAAGTATTTGGCACATCCCCTTTTCATTTGACTATTTAAGACAGACAGACTTCTATTTATAATTCTGGAAATGTATTGTTCATATTCATAATATATATATATATATATATATATATATATATATATATATATATATACAACATGTCCCAAAATTCAACGATAAGCCAACACCGGAGGATAGACCTGCCCCGGACTAATCGTGGAAAAAAAGAAAAAAAATATATCCCAATTATATTTTAAGTTATATAAAAAAATGAAATTCTTCAGAAATTGAGACTATTTATGATATTTTTCACTACCATGACCACAATTTTTTTAATATTTGGTTCTTTTTTTTTATAGGCAACCTGAATAGCACTGCTATCTACCACAATTCTTAAAAAATCCAGAATAACTCTTGTTTTATCACGAAAATTAATGAAACTTATTTTATTCCCTAAATTTTTTGAAGACTTTTACTTTTAACCAACTTTAACTTATCGTGGTGTAAAAAAAGTATGAACACTAGTATGGCAAGTTTTTTTAAAAATTGACGCAACTAACCAACATTCCAAAATAGTATAATACTCTAGGAAAACAAGTTATAAAAAAATATGGGCCTATTATTTCTTAACAGGGGCCAAATCACGGTCGGGTAAAAGTATTAGTTCTTGGAAAATGTTTAATATTTCAAAACAAATGGTACAAACAGTTTCATGTGTAATTTATGTTTTCGAACGAACTGTTTGCCACCAGTATTAATACATGCACGACATTGCCTTAAAAATGATTGTTTTATTTGTCCTGCATATCTTCTGCTATTAATGTAATCAGCAGCCTGAGTGATATTTCGACGAAGCTCGTCCAATGTCGCAATCTGTTTTGAGTAGACCTTGTTTTTAAGACAACCCCAATAGAAGAAGTCCAGGGGGTTCAAATCGGGTGAACAGGGTGGCCATAAGATAGGACCAAGTTGCCCGATCCAACGCCCTGGATACTCTTGATTTAAATATTCTCACACAGGACGGGCATAATGTGCTGGGCAACCATCATTTTGGAACCACATGTTTTGGAGATCACTTAAGGGCACGTCGTCTAACAATTCTTGCAAGTCATTTTGTAAAAAGTTTAAATAACTATTGCCATCTAAGTTTCCTTGTAACTCAAAGGGCCCAATTACTTTTCCATTTAATATGCCGGTCCATAGGTTAACCTTAAATTGATATTGGGATTTATCTTGTCTCATCAAGTGCGGATTTTCATTACTCCCACTATGTAGGTTGTGAAGATTTAAATACCCATCTTTCTTGCATGTTCTTTCATCCGACCATGGAATTTTGTCTAGGAATTGGGGATCTTCACTGTGCCTTTGCAGCACCACATGGCAAAATGTGACTCGTAGTGGATAGTCCCGTGGTAATAAAGTCTGCACACGCCTCTAGTGATATGGGTGAAGCTTGTGACGTTTTAATATTCAATGTGCAGAACTTTTCGGGATTCCTGTAGCTTCTTCTATGGCATGTACCGAAGTAGTCGAATCATTTTCTATCTCATTGAGAACTTCTTCATCATGATCCAATCTAGGTCTTCCAGCGCTTCTCCTATTGGATGGCATATGACATTCCGAAAACGCTTGATGCACATTAATAAACACTCGATAATCAGGATATCTTTGAGCATTTGGGTATCTTTCTCGATACAGTCTGCTAGCAGCGTTAGCATTACATCGGTATTCTCCATAGTTGAAATGCATATTAGCGTATTCCTGTGGTGACCGTCATTTGGCCCCTGTTAAGAAATAATAGGCCCATATTTTTTTATAACTTGTTTTCCTAGAGTATTATACGATTTTGGAATGTTGGTTAGTTGCGTCAATTTTTAAAAAAACTTGCCATACTAGTGTTCATACTTTTTTTTTACATCACTATAAGTTAAAGTTGGTTAAAAGTAAAAGTCTTCAAAAAATTTAGGGAATAAAATAAGTTTCATTAATTTTCGTGATAAAACAAGAGTTATTATGGATTTTTTAAGAATTGTGGTAGATAACAGTGCTATTCAGGTTGCCTATAAAAAAAAAGAAACAAATATTAAAAAAATTGTGGTTATGGTAGTGAAAAATATCATAAATGGTCTCAATTTCTGAAGAATTTCATTTTTTTATATAACTTAAAATATAATTGGGATATATTTTTTCTTTTTTTCCATGATTAGTCCGGGGCAGGTCTATCCTCCGGTGTTGGCTTATTGTTGAATTTTGGGACATGTATATATATGTATATATATATATATATATATATATATATATATATTAGCTATATTCACATTCAAAACCAATGAACACCTATATTAATTTTTTAATTATTTTATGTTTTCATAGTGATTATTGCTTATGTCTATCATCATCATCATAACAGCCCTTCACAAATCTACTGCTGAACATAGACCTCTCAGAGAGATGCCCCAAAATATAGTCTTAAGCAACCTGCATCCCTTAACCTTCTGCATATCTTACTAGATTGTTTCTAGGGGTAGCCCAAAATTTTGTTAAATGGCCAGGTATGTATATCAGTAAGCTGTGACAATGTGCCACTTCAGCTTACTGATATATATATATATATATATATATATATATATACATATATAGTATTTTGTATGTATATATGTTTGTAGTGTGTATGTATCTATGTATATTATATATACAAATATGTGTATTCTTTTATATCTCACCAATTTGCCCTACCCCTGTCATCTTCATGTAATTCTATATATTACAACAGAAGTATAGAATTCTAAGACATAGGTCTTAGAACCATATGTCATCACTGGCAACATGTACTGGGTGAATATATATAGTGCATTGTCTTTGTCACTTTTTGAAATGGAAGAGAAACTTTAAAATGAGTTCTGTATCTAACTTGAATAAGTTATAATATATTGATAGTAGTAGGGCTGATTTTCTACCACACACAATATTTATGTAAATTTTTTTTGCAGATATGTGTCCCAAACCCAATGATACCCAGACAGAGTTATCTAAATCATCTCATGTGGAAGAGCTTGCTGACGGAGTGCCAGGACTGTTTGCTGCATTGACCAGTGAGCCTGACCCACAGCAGAGATGGCTCTCAATTACCTACCCAGTTGATATTGATCTATCTGCATACAGACCAGGAAATCCTGAAAGGCAACTGGTATATCATTTACGTAAGTAGCTGTGTGGTAAATTTGTTTTATAGTATCAGGCTGACAGACAAGCACACAGTCCACCTGATGGTAAATGGATGATATTGCCCATAGTCATCTACATCTGTCTTTGATTAGAAATAAAAATCTAAAATCAAAATATGAGGACTAAGACCAAATGCCTCTTTATCATATATTAAAAATGTAAAAACCTCGAAAAAAATTTTCTTACGCCTGAACGGTTTATTATGAATCATAGCTAAAAACACTCCATAAAGTCCCCTATAAACCAAAGAAAAAACTAAATCAAAATCGGGTTATCTAACGTATTACACCCCTAGTTTGCGGCAGAGGTTAAAAAAGGTCTCCGGTTCTCTTCACTCACTATATAAAACACAGCAGCATTAAGCTATTTTATGCCAGTGTTCTAAAAGAGCCTGGTCCTTCCCTGATTGAGCTGACCCATTTATACTACAACCAAATTTTATAGTAGCTTAATGCTGCTTTGTTTCGTATGGTGAGTGTAGAGAACCGGAGACCCTTATTACTGGAATCGAGGCATTCCATCTTAGTCCTCACTGGTGACAATGCATCTGCAATTTGATTCGTAATCGATTATAGATGTAGATGTCAATGAGCCACAGCAACCACTTGCCATCATGGACTGTGTGCTCGTTTGTCACCCTATCCTATAAAAAAATAAAAATAACCATTACATAGCTGTGGCATGGCTCTACCATATGTAAATATGTACTATGTTACTAGCAAATTACTTTTACTTAAATTTATTGGTATAACAGCTTTTTACTAAATGCATAAGAAAGAATACACAGTGTAACAAAAAAAAATTAAAAATTTTGTCTGTCTATTTGCCTCTTTGTTCAAGCTAAAAAATTTTGACCCATGAAATCCTATCGTAATAATATTCACGCGGACGAAGTCGACGTGAACAACTAGTTTCGAAATATAAGTATAAAAGAATAATACATTTTAGGTTAATTAATGAGTTTATTTAAAAAAAATATGTTATTGTAAATAATTCATACCGAGGAGTCTTACTGCGAAAAACATTTTAAGCTTTGCGTTGTCGAGAGCTGTTGAGAGAGTACTACATTTCAGAAAGTGTATCCTTTCTGAAATGTAGTATCCATATCCACATTCTCTTGAATATCATTTTAAATATTTAACGATAGGTACATTTTAAAGTTAAAAATGTAAAACATTTTCCTTAAAATTCAAAAAAAAATCAACAGATTTCGGGCATTGCATTAATGAAGAATAACGATGTTAACTCCAAAACTACGATTCGCTCAATATGGGTTGGATCCTTTTCATTTAACCACGACCAAAATAGCATTGTCCCTTTTTCGAATGTACAGGAATTACATGACTATTTTCTACCTATCATGAGACACCCAGACGCTCGGATCTTCACCCTTTTGCTGTAGACAAAGCACGCATTCGAACTATAGGGTCGTTGCGCTGGTTTTCGGCCTTTTAGTGGAGTTGTCAACTTTAAGGTACTATAAAAAATAATAGCGATTATGTTGACCTAGTGTTGTTAATATTAATTTATAGCTATATATAATGTAGTTTTCATTTTGATAACTCATTGATGCTACAAAAGAAATCTATTTTTTATAATAAATTTTGATGTGAAAAATATGCAAAACACTAGTTTTCGGCCCCAAATTTTAGATTCCGGCCTACAAGAATTTTAGTTTTCGGCCACTGTATTAGAAGAGGTACTATAAACTTAAAAGTGTTTTTGTAAAATCAGTAAATGGTAAAACGGTTTGGGAAATCGGTGTATTTAGTTTTCTCAATCGGTGATTGCGATTTTTTAACCGTGACGTTATTTTTTTCTTTTTGGGTGTGTTTTTGATATAAAATAATAACCATGATTAATTATTTCTCTTTGAATCATAATCTAATAATAAAATCTTTTTAATATAGCAATCAAATATTCTCATTTACGAGTATTTTGTACTTCCTCATAAGTATTTTAGTTTAACAAAATCTGTTACCATATCTAACCATTCTCATCTCTAATCAAGAGGAGCCATCTGAAGAAAAAAATTTCTTATTGAATCTTCTTCCTAAAACGCAATATTAATAAAATATTTGATATGATAAGATGAAATGGCGTAAACGTAAACTAAGACAGCATTCCATTTTCCGCCGCCGTATTCTTTCATACAATTTTAAGTTGGCCGAAAACTAAATTGTAATTATTTTAGAGTCAATCCAGTTTTCGGCCACGACTGAAATGGGTATTTTGTTTCATCACTAACTGTTCAAATTGCAGTACTTGGTGGCCGAAAACTGAAAGTTAGTGTCTACGCACGCTACGATTCAATATAAGTAAGAAAGATGAGTTATAGTACGTAAACAAATAAACGAAAGAGACAAAGTATTTAGGCTAAACTCAGGCTACTTTTCGGCCGCATGGCCGACAACCAAATAATGGGACAATTTTATGTGTCACTTTTCGGCCACTTAATTTATTAACTTTATCAATAAATTATTATAATAATCAGTGTCAAATAACTATATTAGGTTATTTATACAGTGAAATATAAGCACAATATTAAGTAATTATATTAAATACAGCACGAAACTTACTTTTGAATGGAACGCTCGCCACTATTTTTTTTGCTCGATCTTATCCGTTTTGATAGCTTCAGTGTCGGCGTCAAACTAAACTATTTATTATAAATCGCGTGTTGTGTTTACCTGATTAATTAATGCTACCTGATATAGTGAAACTATTTACAAATGCATTAAACTGTATTTCGTACGATAATATTTATTAAAATTGTTATTAAATCAAATTTACTGCATCATTTGGGTAGGTAAAACAGTGTGCTTTACCATATTTGGCTATCATATCACTATTATGTCAGGTCCCACTAACAGTCAAGCACTGCATAAAGTAGAAAAAATGAAATCTCATCGGCCACAGTGAACACCTGGACATGGTATACCTTCTCGTAGTAGGCAGGATTTGCCTTTATCCCTACGTTTGAAAGGCGGGTTAATATGGGAGTAAAATTTGTATTCACACGCGGGGTTATTTAATTTAAGTATTTATTAACTAGGGTTTGTGCGAAAGCAGAAATGACGCAGCATTATTATCTGGACATATATAAGCGAAATACCACCGACTGATTGACTCATAACAATATCTCTAAAACTATCGTCGACAACATATAACATATTATATTAATAAACATAGTAGTACTTAATCATTTCGTTTTATATCTACGTTATTATCGTCTACTACCATGCGCCCGCGAAGCGAGCAGGTATAATCAGCTAGTTATATAATCCTTAGTAAAACATCTACTTGGAATAATTGTTTTAAAATGTAAATGCTTTTGTCGGATGTCCGAAGATTAATATGTCAGAAGATTATTATTACAACTTACTTACTTATTCTCTTAGAAAACGAGATATACTTATTGCGCTTACGTCACTACACCTGTATTACTGTGTATTTAATTGTTTGTGTACCTTGTAGACAAACAATTAAATATACCCCTTAATATGTACAATAACAGTGTACCTAGCTTAACAGTGAACTTTTTGCATTTTTTCGTTCTCTTTCCGGTAGGAAAAATAAAAGATAGGGTGAGGAAATGTAAGATTAGAGAAAAGTGTGGTTTTGGTTTGCAAGAAGATGTTGTGACGATAGGAATGCTTCGATGGTTTGAACACTTAAAAGAATGAATGAAAAAAGAATTACAAAGAAAATTTATGTGACAAAAGTTTATTGACGAAATTGGCAATATATTAAAGATATGCTAAATTAAGAATACCTTTATAAACGACGGGCATGTAAGCGTTGATATACATTGAGTTATTATATAAAAATCAATGTTGATATATGGATGTGCAAAAAGCAAGTTAGGTGTATTAGGATCGTGTCCAATAGATCGTTTCCTCTAGTTGAGAGGCGTGAGAGTATGTTTGTATTTGTGGAATAAATATAAAATTAATTAGCAAATTGTTATAAATTATAAATTATATTCTAGTAGTCAAAACGAATCATCGGCAAACGCGGGAAGTTAATTCAATGAGTCATGTATTGGAATGTAAACTCGTCTACCTGTTTTTGAAGTCACGTCGTCGCTAACGTAGAAATCTTTTGTTTTTTTCAACAGGTAAGATTTTAAGACAATATTATCACTTTTACAAATTTTGACATCATTTTTAGGTTCCATCATAATATTCTAAAGACAAAATAATATATTACGATAATCTTTAAATCTGACAACAAAGCAGACTGAAATATTCTATTTCTATTTACATTTTAGAAAATAACCAGTTATTAATAATTATAGTGTTCCCATTTGTTCCATCTGACGTGACATTGTCGGAGTAAAATATTTTTTTAATAAATTCCCATAGAACAAATACAACTTTATTGTATTATAAAACAAATATTAATTTACAACTACGAATCTACGACAAGATAAGAGGATAACCGAAGTGTAAAGAATTAATTTAAATTATTTTCAAATGCCAAATGGCCCCGTGTAGTGTCGGGTAAAAGTACCCACTACCCCATATCTTCCCGAGGGTGTCGTAAGACGCGACAGAGGGAATCTGAGGCAGAAGATGGCCAGCAGTAGGGTTACCAGGTCTTTAAACCGAAAAGCCGGACAGACCATCCAGCTTAGCCGGAAATTTTGGTAAAAAGGCCGGACACCTTTCATTATTCAGTCTTAATATAACACGATAATATATTTTTTAAAGTAAAACAATGCTTATATAATTTACCATAAAATATTAAATTAAAATTGAATGAATCAGTGTTCTTTATTACTAATCATTCAATATTTATTACAATATTAATTTCAATAATTGCAATAGTATGTATTTAAGTAAGTATATGAAAAATATAAAAAAATGGTGAAATATAAAAAGCCTAACAAAAGCCGGACAGGCCGGACACCGTCTAATTTGGCCGGACACGCAATCAAAAAGCCTGACTGTGTCCGGCTTTATCCGGACGC